TCAAGTAACGAAACTTGCAAAACAAGTTTCGTTACAAAGACCGAAAGACTACTTGCAAACTCGTAAAAACGGATTATTTAGACTATGTAAATTAGCCGTGAGCCACAAAGGACGAGATCCGATGTAAAGCAACAACGATCGACTAATTCGTAACTCGTAAAAGATAAGAAAACGTAATGTAACTTGGAACAGAAATGAGATGAAGATTAAATACGAATACTTAAATTAAAACTTGAGAACGAAAGCACAACTACAAAAGTTGGTTCTTGAAAAGTCAAACAAAGAAAACCGAAAACTTGGAACCGAAAGCAATATTCTTGAGGATGACTAACACAAAGATCTTAAGGATTAAATGGTAGAAAGTATGAAAAAATCCCCAAAAGTATGTTTAAAACAAGGCTTAAGCCTTCTTTATATAGGCTAAGAAAGATTACATAGTGAGTGCCAACTAATAAGACAAAAGCTTCTTCAAAACTGGGCTTTGACCGGGCCCAAGGTCGTTGACCACGCCTCCTCTATGGATCAGCCCATTTCTCCACGGCCCAAGCAGAATTTCAGCTYTCGRAYAGGTACTATAGGACCTTGCCACTCCTGGTCCTGTAGGACTGCCGTAGGGCTGGGCCCAAAAATCATCAAAAACCTGTAAAAACACGGAATTAACATTAGATATATTATATTACTACTAATATATGAAAAAGACATAAAAAGACTCTATTAAGACACTAATGGGCAAATAAAACAATAGGAAAATGGTTAAGAAAATGATGTAATAAGGTTAATAAAATAACACTTATCAACAACCTATTAATCTAATTGTGGACAGAACTAGATTACATTCGGGTCTTACTAAATTCTCAAAAGTCCACATTTATCTCACAAGACGTCCCCAAACAACGCTTTCCCCCAATACTTCTAAATAGCATTGATAGTATCCCTCAAGTAGCATAGATCCACAGCTAGTGGGACCTGATATACATGTTGATGAGAAAAGGCTTATGCCTAATGAATTCAAACAATTATAAACCAACCATGGTGAAAGATGTAGATAAATTGATATTAGCTGAAAAATAATAACATTTGTACGTTGGAGTACATTCTCTCAAAATGATCAAAACCTGACAGTTTATGTACACAACAACTTCGAGGACGGGAGAGACTCGTTTGCATTGAATGTGGCGGGAACACAAAAATATTGCCATATATAGATGTTATCGGGATTACACCTCAGGTTTCATGAGTGCACATCCAAATATGTCGTCGCCTCAAGTTCTCAAATAACATAAGGGTCCACTCCTAGGGGGGGCGTTTGGTTTGCAGATTCTGAATGAATCTGATGGAATTGGAATGTTGAATTCCATTCACCAAATTCTTTTCCCTCGTCTGGTTCATTCTTTTTCACGAAAGGAATCTTCAAAATCCTACAAATTCCACATATAAAGGAATCTTCATTCTCATGGAATGGAATTCTCTATCTTTATAATACCATATATGCATTTAACCTAATATACCCTAATCTCATTAAACTCAATATGACCATCATCGACCACCTTCGACCACCTCCGATTGCCGCGATCTGAATCACCGTCGACCACCGCCATCTGAAATACTGCTGACCATCGTCATTTGAACCATCGTCGACTACCACCGATCTGAACCACCGCCGATCTGAACCACCACCAATCTAATCCACCATCGATCTGAACCACCATGGACCTCCACCGATCTGAACAACTGTCGACCATCGCCATCTGAACCACCATGGACCGTCATCGATCTAAACCACAACCAACTACTATCGATCTGAATCACCGTCGGGAACTGACGACCATCACCGATATGATCCATCGTCGATCTGAATCACCTCCAATCTGAACTACATCCGACCACCGTCACCTGAACCACCACGGACCTCCACCGATCTAAATCACTTTCGACCACCGACGACTACCACCGATCTGAATCACCGTCGGACAACTCCGACCACCACCGATTTGAATAACCACCGATCTGAACCGTCGCCACCACCGTTGATCTGAACCAATATCGACCACTGCCATCTGAACCACTGCCGACCACCACCGATCTAAACCACCACCGACCACGATAGATTTAGTAATGTCGTTTGGCTTATGATTATATTTGGGTAGTGTATTTTATATTGTTTTACATATTAAATAATTAATTTATTAAAGCACTTTTAGTTTTAAAAAATCAAAATTTTCAAAAAGGGCATTTTGGTCATTTACCAATATTTCATTCCAATTCCAAAACTACATTCTATGAACCAAACAAACAGATTCCAATTTCTTAACAAATTCCATTCTAATGTCTTCCAACCAAACAAATGATCAAACCTGACAACATTCCATTTCAATTTCTTCAAAGTCATATTCATTTAACAGATTTCATTACATTCAAAAACATTTTGCAAACCAAACACCATCCAAGAGTTTCACCTCAAGGAAAATGAGTCTTAGAGCCTGCTTATTATCTAGCCAAGTGTCACATCAAGGTTCTCATTCGACCTTTAAGTGGCCTTTGGTTTGCAAAATATTTTTGAATGGAATAAAAATATGTCAAAGAAATTTGACTTTGAAAGAATTGAAATGAAATATTGTTAGGTTTAACCACCTGTCTGATTAACATACATTGAAATGGAATCTGTTAAGAAATTGGAATATGTTTGTTTGGTTCACAAAATGTAGCTTTGAAATTGGAATGAAATATTAATAAATGATCAAAATGCCTTGTTTTGAAAATTTTAATTTTTTACTAAAGATACTTTAATAAATTAATTATTCAATGTTTAAACAATATAAAATACACAACTCAAATATAACCATAAACCAAACATAAATCAATATTAAAATTGTTTCAAATTAGCTAATTCTTTAGCATGTAACATAAATATATAATAGACATAATTCAGTGTTTACTATATTAATTAAAAAAATTAACTATTAGAAATTTTAAGACAAATTTTGTTAAAATATATTTCGAAGAAATAAAATAAAAAATAAAATATTAATTTAATTTTAGTATTAAAAAAAGTATTAAATTAAATTAAATTAATTAGGTTATGCTTGGGTTAAAGGGTATATTTGGGATTATAAAAATATAACATTCCACCATCGAAATCCCAACGTATTGTGAAGGAATGCTGAAATCCCTTGTTTGTGGAATTTGGTGGGAATCCCTTGTTTGTGGAATTTGGTGGGATTTAAAGATTCCTTCTTTAAAAAAGAACGAATCAAGCGAAAGAATGGAATTTGGTCAAATGAATTCAGCATTTAAGTTCCATCAGATTCCTTTAGAATCTGTGAACCAAACGCCACTTTAGTGTCTACTTACTAGTATTCATGATAGGAACTGTAACAACCTACTTGATAATACAAAGTCGATAACCCTCATGCATAAGGGTCATAGCACCACAACACCAAGCTTGGAATTTAATAACATAAGGTGTACACATAAAACCCCAAATCACAGACAATGACATTTCATGATTACTCACAATAACCTGATTTACTAAAATATCTATATATGTTTCCGAAGAGTTTCCAAAGCAACGCAGGAGTTATGCAACTAGATCTAAAACACCCAAAAATACATCATGAACTCTTTATTTGTGCCAAAGCACATCTGTGACAGGGAAACTTAACGAGTCTACATTTGAAACCAATACACCCAAGGAATGAAAACCCCTTTGATTTCATGAAACAAGACCTTTAAAACCTAGGAGTTTATGGTCCATTTTGCCATTTAGGTAAAAAATCCCCAAAGTCGACATACATTTGTATTTGTTGGAATGATCATAAATCGAAGCTTCTAAATGTGTAAGAAATGTAGGTTTAGCATGTATATAGTGAGGTAGAAGTAGAGTGAACTCACCTTACTAGGTTTTAGTGAAAAAAACCTAATCAAACCCGAGCAAAAACCCTAGAAATCAAGCAAAGGAGCTTTTAGATCTTGGATGAGAATCTTGAAGCTTGTTCTAAGATGATTCTTTAGCTTTAAAGTTTAAATGTTTCCAAGCACTTGAAATCAGCTTTTAAAGCCTTCCAAAAACGTCTTCAATGAGGGGAGAAAAGACAGAAGGAAAAATGAGAAGTCTTGTGAGAAAAATGGTAAAAAAAAAAAAAAAAGGGACCAAAAATTGGATTTTAGTCGTCCAGGTCACGCCAACGACCCTGTCCGCGACTACAAGTCATGCAACAGGTCGTGCAGTATAGTAGCTTCCGCAACTTGGGCGGCGACTCTAGGTCTAAAGGAACCATGAAATTTACGAGTGTTACACCATGAGGATTCCAAAAACAAGACGAAACTAGCAGAATTGTTTTGTTAACAGCCGTTAAGATAGGCATGACAATGGGGCGGGGATGGACCAGTTTTGTAATCCTTAGCCCCGGTCTCGGTCCCCAGAGAGTACGGGGATTAACATCCCGTCCCCGATCAAACCTCTATGAACCCCCGGTCAATCCCCATAAATAATATCATTTAGTTTCATTCTACCGTGGATCTCCGTCCCCGGTTTGAGTAACATTCAGGACCCGTTTTAGCGAGAAATCTTTGTCTCTGTTCGGGCCGGGTGAACCGGGTTCTCCACCGGGTCGGAGCAAATCACCATCCCTACGTTAAGACAAACAAACAGAAAGAGAGTTTTTTTTTTTTTTTTTTTTTTTTTGTAATAAATGAATCTCAAAGGACTATATTCAAATAAATAGGAACTAGTTACGTAATGTTGTATTAAATAACATATATTATATTAAAGTTAGAGCAATCTCCTTTGAAACCTGAAAAGCATAAAGTTGTGACATAGGATCCTTGTCTTGTTTTGAGAGTTTTATGAGATAATGGAAGGGTAGTGGGATCCGGATCCTACTATACTCTTACTCCTCCTCCTTCCCCCGCCACTTTTCCACCATAGCAGGAGAATGGAGGAGGACCTCCACATCCATGGTGCTGTCTCTACTCCTTACGTAAGTGCTCCATCCAGTCCCGGCTCTGGACCACCGCGGTCTTACGGCGGAGGATTCTTCTACAGCGCTCCTGCTAGTCCTACGCACCATGTCTTATCATCGTCGAACTCTGTTTTGTTAGCTCCACTAGAAGGAGCCGGCGGCTCGTTTGAGTTCGAGTTCACGGTAAGGCATGAAGCAACCGGACCAGCTGCCTCCGGATCCATGACTTCTGCCGACGAACTCTTCTTGAACGGCAAGATCCGTCCTATGAAGCTTTCCTCTCACCTTCAACGTCCTCAGGATCTAGCTCCGTTGATTGATGTTTTAGAAAACGACGGTGAAGAAGAGGATAAGTTTGACAGAGGTAGAGATTTGAAATCTCGAGACAGATCCAAGTCGTTAAGGAGAAGAACTAGATCTATGTCACCGTTACGGACCAACACTGCATTTCAATGGCTGGAGGAATTCAAGGATGCGAGAGAATCTACGGAAATCAACGAAATTAAGGAGAAACTGGAAGCCGAGGAGGATAGACAGAGAGCGAACGACGACGATAACGGAACTCCATCGTCCGGTGGATCCTCGCGGTCATCCTCCGTCGGCCGGAGCTCGAAACGATGGGTGTTCCTGAAGGAACTACTGTACAGAAGCAAAAGCGAAGGACGAAACAGTAGCAATAGCAACAGGAACCATAAATTATGGTCCACATTATCCTTCTCCCCTTCTTCTTCTTCTGCACAAAAAGACAAGAAATCATCAGATTCGCAGACCTCAAAAACGGCAGATGCAGTGGATGGAAGTGGAACGACGCCTAAGACAAAGAAAGCAGTAAATGGATTGGGGATGAATCGGAAGAGGAGAGTGGGAAGATCAGCACACGAAGTGCATTACACAACAAAGCGAGCACAGGCGGAGGAGATGAGGAAGAAGACGTATTTGCCGTACAGACAGGGGTTGTTAGGCTGCTTAGGGTTTAGTTCAAAGAGTTATGGAGCCATGAATGGATTTCTGAATTCAGTTTCATCCAGGTAATTTGGGGTTGAAATCTTCCATCATGTATATATAAAATCATTTATTAATTTGGCTTTCAATGAATCAAATCCCAGTTTTGTTTCAAATCTTTGAACCCAATTCAATCACCTTTAAATGATGATTTGGTTTGGATGATACCAATGAAATGGTAGCCACCGACCAGCATCTCCAATTTTTTGGGTCCCATATGTTTTATTGGTTCATTGCTTTGGAGGCATCAGATTTCATTTTTCTTTTCATAGTCTAAATTTATAATTTTAAATTAAAGTGAGGGCTTGTTCACTTCTTCGTAGTTTCATTAATAGGTAGTTTCTAAATCAGATGAATTTTGTTTGGCAAAAAAAAGTCTGCCTCTTGACGATTTTAAAACCTTTTGAATGATTTTGTATCTTGGGTCTCCCCTAACCATTCAAGCGCCCTAATTTTATTGTAAACAATTATCAAATAATTATATTTTATTGTGCAAGAGTCTCTTAATCATTCTGACCATTTTATACCAAACCATTTGACAACTATAAAATAATTCCTTAGCCATTAAAAGTTTGGTTAGATGTTTTTATTAATTTTTTTTCTTTTACAAAACTCAAAGCAATCCAATTACAAGGTGAAAGTTGGATCCCACCGATTTATATGTTTATTACATATAATATATGTAATGCACGAATATTTAAAGCAATTTATGATAAATTTGATGCAAATGATTGATTTGATATAAAACTTTGTCGAAATGAAATTCTTTTTAATGTTAATGCAGCAATTTTAGAATCTGACTTTTTCTTTTTTTCAATGTAACTCAGTCGCAACTAATATATTTATTTTCATACTAATATTTGCATTTTCCAAGAGGGATGTCATTACTAACTCATGTCGGATGACATTTGTTTTTAACAGGTGTTGAAGTCTGAAATCTGGATTAGTAAGATTGTTTGTTTTTAGATCGGTCAAACTAGTGTAAAAATATAAAAGATAAATAGTTTTTTTTAACAAAAGTATAAAAGATGAATAGTTTTTACTAACAAATTTCTTTCAGCCTTCAAAATATGAACCAAGTGATAGAGGGTGGATTAGAATTAAGAGATAATAAGTGATATATTTACTACTTAAAATTTAAGAGGACATGTAGAGTTTCTAAGCTCTTATTTTAAAAATAAAATAAACGTTCTTAATACCCAAACGTCTGAAAGAATCAGACTTTAGAAGTATTAAGAGATAATTTTGAAAAAACAAAAAGCCCTTCGTCTCTCATGCTTGTCAACTTCAAAAGAATTAACTTTTTATTATGTTAAATCTAATTAAATGAAGGGTATTTTAGTTATTTTCTTCATTGCCGTATGTAATTAACCCTATTTTAGATATTTAATAAATAGTTAGCTGAAGTTTTTCTTTTTTTTAATTAACCTGGATATTCAATCTGTTATGCGAGCTGACTAATCCCAGGACGACCACCTGCTTTGCAGATAGCCCGGAGTCACCGCATTTGAACCTCTGTGACCACAAAGGGATTCTTATTTCTCCTTGGATTTGAACCTAGGACCTCTTGCTACTTTTAACCTTTGAAACCAAGCTCAAACCAATCAAACACCACCCTTATGGTATTAGTTAAGTTTTTAGTAGCCACAAAAAATGATAATAAAATATACAAGAATATGATAACGTTGTTTTCCTCATTTTTTATCCTTTTCATCTGAATACAACTTTCCATGGGGAAAAAGTTATGATTGGAACCCACATCGGCTCCAAGCATCAATGTGAGGTTTTTCTTTTACTAACTTATGGGTCGTTTACCAAATGTTTATCTAGATAAGTGTTTATCGACAAAATTCAACACTATCACTTACTTGAATTTAGTCTACTAAAATGGTATCATATGCAACAATTCACTCGGTAAGCACCAACCTTGGTAAGAGTCTGTCACTCACTTACCGGGTAAGATTTTTGGTTCTTGCATTCGTTCTTACCGTAAACATTTGGTAAACACCCCCTTAGCCTCTGATAGTAACATTTTATAGGATAATATCACAAGTTTTTTAGCCACGCAAAAGAAACCTGTCACAATCGAACCCTTAACAGGTGGTTATAATACTACATGGTCCTTTCGTTGACCAAAAAGAATTAGGAACAAAAAATCACTGAAATTTTACACACTGATATATTTTTATAATCAACATATTTAACATGTTTTCAGATCTTGTTTTACTTATTTCCAATTTGTAGCAGATAAAGGGTTGTGGTAAGAAAATAAAACTTGGGGGTTTTTACCATCAAGAGTCTGGTAACATCCCCAACCCAGAAAATGGATTGTTGGTAAACATCTCAGGGGCTAACCAAGTAAGAGCTTCCCTCATTTACTGGAGAAGACCTATGCACATTTGGTAAGGTAAGTAACGCCCAATAAGCGCTTACCTAGTAAGTGTTTGCAGACAGATTCAAACTACGTTTCATCACATTATGTACATCGTTCAAATTTCAGATCATTTCTAGAGTGTTTTGGGTCATATGCAGTTTGCAAAACAGTAGGATTATAATGCAATGCGAGTGACGTGTTTGTACCCCTAACTCTGACTTACTTGCTATTCACTTTATTTTTGGTGTTTCCAAGGTTACCTCCATGAGAAATCTGCATGTTGACACACAATATACATCTTCCATTAGCAATTCAATCAAAAAGAGGATTTTAAAGAGGGGGGGTCCAACAGATATCTTCTTGTACTTACAATGTGGGATTTCCACTCCATTTGGGTATGATCATTAGTAGTAGACTGTGACTGGTTGCTAACATGGCGGAATATGTGGATGAGCACCGCAGCATCAAGAGCAGCGTATTCTAGCTGCAAATGCATTTGAACCACAATCTCCTCATATATATATTTCAAGCTAACCAACTGATTCTATATCTGTATACTTTTAAGGGCCATATACAACCATGGATAGTAAATATATAGCAGGTAGACAAGCAGAATTTAGATCTACATACATGATTGTTTTCATGGAAGTTCAAATCAAATAACAGATATGGCAACGAAAGATGAGTCTTTTTGATCCTCTAGTAATTTAGTGAGGTTAGAAATCTATATAAGCAGGATGACAACTTAAAGTTGACACACTTGACCAAAAATCATACAACCGAAATCCACCTATGCATTCTTACTTGACTGGTAGAGTTCCAAATAACGAATTAGCCGATAAGATGTTTTTAGAAATGCTTTTATTTCATTTTCTTACTTTCTTTTATTGTATCCATCATCTCTTACCCGCAACACACATACAAGCTTCTAGGTCATTCTAGAACAATATTGCTCAAGTGCAATACCCATTAACCATAATATATAATGGTATGAACATGGAAAAAGATAAACCTGATTCCGGGTTAAAGGTCGTTCCTCCCAATTACTGTTTCTTCTTGTCTTATCTAAACCAACGCCCAATACTTCCTGTTCAATTTTTTGAAGTCAACAAACCACATTTTATTATGCATTTCACAACAGTTACAATATGGCAATGTAGTTGTTCCATTTACCTTTGTCAGACCTGAAAGGCCACCACGAGGTTCTTTGAATATGTTCTGAATATCCAACAGCATTTCAAAGTGCTTAAAACAATCAAAATCTTCATAAGATTGAGCGAGTTGTTTCATATCACATTGGAAATTATAACCTGCACAATTACCAAGTTGATCTGATAATCTGACAAATCAAAAAACAAGCCCATAATAGATCATAAAAGGAATTAAAAACCACTCCATGAACCCTCATACGAACAATTTAATGTTTAGAAACTAAACAAAGTGATGATTATCATCAACACTTAAGGTGTCTCATACCAAGTTTCAGTATTCGAGGCGAGTGGAAAATGCGGATTAGGCAGCTGTCCAAAGCAGCAGGAGCATCATGGGACAACTTTATCAAGTCAATGATGAAGACAATCTTCTCGGAAGCAATTTGCATGATGGAAACCTGTAAGATGGATAAACACTGTAACTAATAAAGGAAAACTTAAAGAGTATTAGCATTGCACCTATATAAAATACTTGAAGCAGGCTAACAATTGAATATGAAGCATTATAAACGTATTCATTCTCAAATATTTGTGCATGACAAAGACCTCTCTCTCATAGGCATACTGACAAACGAAACGCAAATGCACGTTCTCTGTGATATCATCACTTTTGAAGAAATTATCTGGTGTGGCATAAATTAGCAACATGTAGCTTACACATATAGGATACGAGTCAGACATGGCAAAAGCAACCCAGGTATCACGAGGATTCATATGGCACCAAAGTTCCCTTGTTCCATACTACCTGGGGCTAGCTAACAATGAATGCTGTTGAAGATTCTATATCCACATTATCTAAATAGGGTGGAATCGGAGAGAACTCAGCTTCCAAGATTGTGTTCCTCCACGATGTAGCACTGACTCCTAAATGGAACTTGACCCAGCTCTTTTTTGACATTTATATATTCCCTTCACATCTTTTCTTCGCAACACAAAGAGATATTAATAAATAAGAGGTCTGCCCACCTCCCTGATACATCTATCAGTTATAGATAATCATGATTCTAATATTTGGCAACCAGAGATTACTTATTTAACCTGATGTGAAATGATTAAGTACACAAACTAGCATATCGTAGGCAAAACTGAGGGGTTTGTTCCAAACATACATCTTATACCTCACTATAAAGTATTTGTAACTCTCATTGGTTAAATGCAGCATCACATATGCAAACACAGACACAAAATGCAACTATGTCCAAAAATAGCAAGTGAAGCAACCAAAAAGGGCCCTTGAGGAATCAGAAATTTCTTTCTCACAATCATCTACCATTACATCATCTCTTTCAAATCAAGATGGCCTAGGCTTTTTTCAAGCAATGATGTTCTCTTAATTTTATTGACCAATACAACTTCAATCTTGACTCTAATTTTTTGATTTGGATGACGATTGGACAAAAATGAAAAAAGGACCATGAAAGTTGAAAGATCACGTTTATCTATTTTCCCTATGCTATGAATACAAGTGATCGTGACTCAAATCCATTTATCCCCGATTGGTGTACAGTTTAAACCAGAATGATTTAATACGGTGTACTTGCAAGGATATAGGGTATATATATGCATGCACTTGTGGGCTGGAACAGAAGAATTATGGAACCCCCAGATACTAACCCTATTCTATCTACTACAGACTCCTAAAGATGGAGATTAGTTATCAGTCATTCCCTTAATGACTAGCAAAACATTGATACATCCATAACAGAAATACTGGGAAAACTAAGCAAGCAAAGCTCAAGGATGGTAATCCTTGTGCTCCTATTGTCCTAAAAGAAACCATTATGTCAAAATACTAAAGAATTGTTGTATGCATCAGCAAGTTCAGAAACATAATATACATATATATATATATATATATATATATATATATGTGTGTGTGTGTATATATATCTGTATGTATGTGTGTGTACACAAAAACAGAATATATATATATATATATATGTACTTGTAGATAGCATATATACAAATACAAAATATAGATATACTAACAGTTGGTACAAGTCTCCAATGTAGCAAGTTAAAGAAAAGAGAAGTCGTGAGGTTGTATGAGAAAAATTCACAAGGTTTAAAAAGAGAGCTGCCATTTTTGTTTCTAATAAAAATATAATATTAGGGTTATGACTTTTTTAGTCATTTATTTAAATAAAGTAAAACACATCCACATTTACGGGTATCAACAATCCACTATAAGTCTAACCCACTAAGTCTAATCCATTAAGAATCTAACCCACTAAAATCTAATCCCCTAAACTCTTAACCCCACTAGACTTGGACCATTTCTCATGTATATATGTTGGAACCTCCCCCTTTCTCCTCAAGGGCTCTTTTGGAGAGTGATCTGGGGGTTCCACATATTCTCACATGGTATTAGAGCCAAGATCTGTCATGCCACTCTAGGGACCCGACACTCTGGCTAGCCCTCTCTCGACACTCTGGGACAATTTGTGTCCATCTAGCGATCATTGGAGGGGGCGTGTTGGAGTCCCACATCAGCTAGACTTTGACCATTTCTCCTGTATATGTCGGAACCTCCCCTTTCTCCTCAAGGGCACTTTAGGAGAGTGATCTGGAGGTTCCACATATTCTCACAGTACCGATTTTAATTTAGCTTACATTAATTATACTCGGAGATGTGTTTTATACATAATGAAAAGTGATAAGCAACTTCTATTTACCTTCCTAGTATAATTACACATGTCATGTATCTGCAGATTTTAATAACCATAAGTTAATCGATTAATTTAGTTTCTAATTTTATGAAATATTATCAATGTGTTACAATATAGCTGAATCAAAGGAAAATAAGTGATGAGCAACTTCTAGTTACCTTCCTAGTATAATTACACACGTCACGTATCTGCAGATTTTAACCATAAGTTAATCGATTAATTTAGTTTCTAATTTTATGGAATATTACCAATGTGTTACTAATACAGCTGGATCAAAGGAAAATAAGTGAAAAAGCATAAACAAGTCGATGTGAGAAAGCAAAAAAAGGTAAGAAGGCAACCAAAGGAGCGAGAAAGGAACTTAATTGAAAAACTTCCTTGAACTATGCAAGTAGGCAAAAAATGATGAGCCAGCTAATCTTTAATCTATTACTTTCTTGTATGGTGTGCTCTGAAATGGAGGGAAAAATCAGGAATTTTTGTAGGTGATTGATTATTACTGATGATGTGTGTTTGGTAATACTAATGGGTGTCAAACTTCCATTATGTCATGGAGGCCCCTTGTTTAATTCATTCATAGTCTTTTAGGGTTTGATATTAATCAAATTACATCCTGTTATTCAGTTCCCTGAATCTTCATGAGGCTCAATGAATATTCCAGGGTAGGGACTTCAGCCGAAGTGGAATATTGCCAACTTTCCCATGTCTTCGAAGTTTAAAACCACCACAAAATAGTATGTAAATACCTAGCTAGAGATCACACCCTAATTCCAGCAACTCAAATAGAGTACCCACTCAAAGCTTTTGAGGTTTGACCTATAATAAATTGATGCAACATTTCTTCTCCAAACGAGGCAAGTAGGCACTCTAAAATAACTAGTACATAATGTCATACTATGAACATTTTCCGTAACTTATGCTAATTACAATGCAAGGAGTCTTTTGAAATCATGGCTACACAACTTTTGGAACTCCAAAAACGCCTTGAAAAAAACAAAACAGAAATTACATTAATTCTAGCAACTACAGAAAAGATCAACAAAAAAAGCAAATGATGGATATGCATAAGAGAGCCATTCTGAGACAATCCTCTAAGCAAGTCAAGAGGCCAAAGGAGAAACATTGATTACCTTGTTCTTACTGCCCCTTTCATAATTAGGCTTCCATTCACAATCAAGGCCAATGACTTTGCATCCCTCAATATGACATGTTGCTTCATGCAGACCTACGGACTCATCAACCCAAATAATGTCATCTATTGCCAATTCATCCCGATGTAGATAACGAATACGTGAAAGGCTTGCCTCAGCTTCTGCACAAGCATCAGAAAATGTCCAAAAAATGTTCAAAAGTTAATTACTGGACATATAACATACTTGTCGCTTTAAAGCTAAACCATGACATAAAATTATATTAGAATCCAAACTAAATTAATGCCTTTAAAAACCAATGCTTTCTACTATGTTAACACAAACAGTTCTTACATTAACCTAAGCATCAAGAGTTTGATATGTCTCTTACACCTAAATGTAAATGACTACGACGGTATCAGATAAGCCCATATTTTAGTTGACCTTGAAGATCATGGATGCTTCTCTCGTATTGAGACTGAATTCTAAATGAAAAAAGAAGAAAAAGAAAACAATAACTGGCATCAAGTTTCTGTTTATATATGAGGTGTTGGTTCTCACTTTCTGAACAAACTGGCAACTAATAAATGATTATAAGAAACATATAAGCATTGCTATTGATGGGTATTTGAACTAGTATAAGGGGCTGTTACTAAACACTTACCCGGTAAGCGCTACTGGCAAAATTTAACACTATCACTTACTTATCGGGTAAGACTTTAGTTTACCAAAACGGCATTGTATGCAACAATTTACCCGTAAGCGCTAACCGTGGTAAGAGTCATCTCCATCACTTACCAGGCAAGACCCCTCAATCCTTGTCTTCGCTCTTACCGTGTAAGATTCTTGGTCCTTGCCATATTCAATGTGACTTGGTAAGCGCTTACCCGGGTAAGCGTTTGGTAAACGGCCCCTAAGGTTAATCTCAGTTCAGATAATATGAGTGGAATCCATCACCTAGATGGTTTGCATGTAACATAGAAACGTAATGTAATATACCTTTGGCCTTCATGAAACCTTTGAGGGAGTATCTATCACAAAGTTCATCGACCTTCTCTGAGTAACCAGCTTCCATTGCCAAATAAACCTAAAATAGATTATTATAAGACAAACAGATATTATCATTAAAATTTTGTTTACATAATACAAGATTCTTGAGAAACCTAGTGTGCAAAAAAATACATTATGTTCACATATAGAATGTCATGTTATAAAGAACTTCTTTTCGAGAATGGGCTAGAAAGGAAGGTAAATTTTGTGTGTAAGCATGCATGCACAAACAGAGGATCTGAGATTGATAGCAAGTTGAAAAGTTCCCAAAACTAAGAAAGAACATAAATTTTGACTTAGCTTATTTGTCATTTGTTTCCAATATTGTGTCCTGAAATGTGGTTGGCTCTTGTTTGAGTTATCTCATGACAAGTGGAAAAAGAATAATGATTGATGTACATGGGTAAAATCAGAGATTGAATTCAAAGGAAAGGGAATGCTTATCACTATTTGAGTGCTTACAAAGGGGGTTTTCTGGCTTTCGAGAGGTCATAAGCTCTCTACAGGACTCGCATCCAATTTGACACAAAACTGAATGCCCCTCCTGATTCCTCCACCTCTTATTTATACTAAATCCCGACATTACCTACTTGTATAAGTTGTGCATCATCTATTTGTACTTCCCTTAGTATTAGAGTATAATAGTACCTAGCCCCCAAACTTCCACCTTGTCCACAAGGTGGAAAGAAGAACAAAAATTGACTCTGCCACTTAATATACTCCTCCAATCGTTTTACGAAACCCAAAAATTACCATCATTTTACTCACTACAACCCCACTCCTCCCACTCAGCCTGCATTTCCTTGGTGTATAAACAAAATAATTCAATTAATTGATTCCCAAGCAAAAACACCAAACTATTCTGGAACCCATTGGAAGATTTTATCTGCCATGGCAAGTTTTGCAACTTCTTGTACATCCTTCATATTCGAATGAGTACTTCCTCTTGAACTCAAAGGGAAGAGCATAAATTCACCACCAAGCATACAAACTCCAGTTAGAACATACAAATCAAAGGTTGCAACAGGTCCTTCCTTTTTTATTCTTGTGTCCCCAAGTTCCCCTGCTTCCAAAAGGATGCCTCCAATTCCTTACTCGTATGTGGAAAACTATCTTCACCTCTTGATTCCTTACCCACACACAGTCGCGCTTCATGATTGATGCATACAGTCAGTATAACAAAGAATAATCTAGAAGTAAGCTCTACAATAGCATATGCTTCTAAAGAATAATATTGTGCACAGCTTTGCCATGACCAGATTCTTGGAGGCAGAGCCAAAACCACATCTTGATTTTCAGGTTTGTTCAAACGAATACTCTGCTGGAAATGCTTTCTCAACAAGTACTTGGATAGTAGCAACAATCATCTTCATATGACCAACTGTATATGGACTTTCACGAAGACGATACTACAGAACAGAGAATTACATATAGGTTCCATGAGAAAATAGGAGGTTGCAAAGGGGTTTTGAAAGCTTCTGGAGCCCATAATGGTGGTGCTTCTAAGAGTCTAAGAAGTCTTTGGGTGGTACTATGACCAACAATATGGTAATACCTGTGGAATGATCTTGTATAAGGCTCTAAACGGGGGTGCAAGCATGAAGATTCTCATTCATGGCTCTTGTTTGGAGGATGAAGTAAAAAAATAGGACAGCTATAATGAAATGACCTAATTTGATGAGGAGCTAAGTAACAAAATGACCTAATTTGGAAAATAAACCTGTTCGTTATCATAGGAACTTGGAAGGCGACTTCCATATTGCACCTTATGTCACCCTCTTCTCCAAAAATAGATGTATGCGACTTTGAAGGCAAGATAATAAAGTCTTGTATGATCTCATATATTTCGTATGAGGACTTTTGAGCGACTTACTGAAGGACCTCTATGTCGCGTCCAATCGTGATGAATGCACGGGTCCTTGTACTGGCAACTTCTTAAGCGAGATGCAGAAGTCACCTATGACCTCCCTTTCAGCAAAGGTTGATTTTAAGTCATATTTAACAGCAACCACCTGATTCAAGCCGCAACCTGATCAATGTTGCTAGATTTTTTTTTTTTTCAAGGAATAAGAGGTGACAATGAACAAAAAAATTTACCACCTGAGAATTCATGACCAGAAAGTTCACAAGAAGAAAGTCAGAGACCATGGAAAGAGAATTCGTAGGTAGAGAGATCACAACCAGAACAACTAGGTTTCATGCAACAATGACCTCAGGGTTTTGTCACAGAGGCAGCCTCAATTCCTTAGCACAGTGGCTAGGGCTTCATCAAGATGTGATGTCATCTAGCGCTTCATAGGAATAAATCTCATTGTGGCATTCTGGGGTTTTGCAACTAGTTTAGGGTTTCACAACAGGTTTATCAATGGTGGCTGGAGACCGGTTTTAGGGCGTGTAGATGATTGTTTCCCAGAATAAGGGCTTGTACCAAGAGCAGCATGGCTCTGTTACAGACCAGAAAGCATATCTCTTATTAGAAAAAAAATTAATAACAAAGACAACATATATAGAGTACGTCTTCAGCCATTGGCCCACAAAATAAACAACCCTAATTAGATAATTATTTATAATAATACAAATGTGACCACCAATTCATCCCATGGCTCTGTTACAGACCTGAGCACTATGAAGCAACCCACGATCCACTTTGAAGTTTATCATGCTTTATAGATTGTGCATGCTTTTTTAGCTTCTAAATTGAATAGAGGCCTGTCAGATCCATTGTGAAAGCATTTTTGTGCAGTTAATTCTATTTTGTCAAAGTAAAGAAAACTATGGCATCATCTTGTTGTAACTTAACCAGAAGAAGGTACTCTCAAACAACTTTTCAAACAAAATGCAGGAGTCAATAATTAAATCATTATCATCAAGCCACCTGAGCTTGAATAATATCTACAGCAGGAAGCTCGCACAACTTACATTAGTTAAAAAGAGACCGATTACCAATCAACTTAAAAAGCCATAGGAGGACATCTTGTTGGCAGTTACCTTTTTGTGTCTTAAATTCCTATCAAGTTTGATTCTTTTTGTTGGAGCACCTTTATAATGAAATATTTGTTACTCGCATTCTTCTACAGGGGCAGGCATGCTCATCAACCAATAAAAATGACAAATACTTGAAGTTACCTACCAAATATTCAAGAAGTTTGCTATCAGATTTCGCCTTCATCTCTGCTATGTCCCAGCATCCCTTTTCTGCTAACTTCTTAAGTGAGCTGCAATATAACTGACTACATTGTCACTATTGATTATGTGGAAAATCAAGATCTTCAACTACATCTATTATCCCAGAAATATTAAAAATGCTTCAAACGGTAAAATCTCAAGATATAGACAATATAACTACCTTTCTTTACCCATCTGATATACTTCCGGAAATTCTTCACGAAGATTGTTTTTCATTATCAGCTCATAAGCCTGCTTTACCAGCTTCCTATCAACATATTCCCGGATGAGTACACACAACATTTGTTTCCCCATAAATGTTGCCCACTTTTCTGCTGCTTTATATTCTTTGCTTTCTAACATCGTATGAAGAAAAGGCTCTCTATACTGACAGATAGAGAGTTGTTCTAGCAGAGTAACTACGGCCATATATGATTGAGATTCTAGCAGCTTAGAGATATATTGCTCAATATATGCTTTTGTAAAGCTGTCATTCTTCTCTTCTGAGGGAAACATAACCTCTTTGATATCTGTAAATTTAATGTTGAAAACTTCAAGGATCTTCACAAGTATCCTGTCATCATGAAGTTTATTACCACGAACAGCAATTATAAATAATTGGGTAGCAAGCAACTTTGCTTCCAGTAAATCTTCCTGGGTAGTTCCAGTTTTCAAAAAACGACGAAGAGCAGCTATCATCAGATGGCTAAAACCTTCACAATATGATTCCAACATAGGCAATAAAGAGAGGCAACGAGCAACAAACACAGCTGGTCCAGGTCTCGGTGTATTATGTAAGGCTTTAAGGACCTGATGCTGGAGGACAAAAAACTTTGCAGTTGCCTTGCATGTGCCTGTTCCACAAAAAATCTTAGTGGTGAAACATGTTTACAAGAAAGGATGCAACAAAGTACAAGAAAAGAAAAACGGTTTCACAAAAGCATACTATTGATAGATACTTTCAAGGTGAAGACATCCAATTATGCAACAAATTAAGCCTTTTTTATTTTACACTGACTGGACCAATCAGAAAACGGGTGAACCAATAATAGGATACAACGTTCAGAAATAATAAAATTTACTGATAGAAATAATAGAAAGATATCTTCGAGGGACAAGGTTATGTGCAATATGGATAGCTTTGTAATATTCTCATGGTACAAGAAAATATAGGTACTCACCCGTTTCTCCCTTAGCACAATAAAATCCATTAATATTCAGTATCGTCTACATTTGATTTGATCAATACCAAAAACTTTATATTTTGATATTGTATGATGTGAGGATGAAGTTTGTATGGTAAAATAGAGAACGTTGTTGAAGATGGTGGTAGAAAAGTGAGCGTTATTATAGGGAGACAGATGCCCATTGATGCAATCTGATACATCTATCAAGTTGCTATACTCATGAATCAAACTTTGTTAAGTAATATATTTTTATTAATTGCCAACAATTTAAATTTCTGGATCAAAAGGCACATGGCTCAACCTAAACAATAGCTAGTCCTCTTTTAGCTTTTGGCACAGAACTAAATCAACAAAGAAAAGAAGAAATACGCCCTATGGATAGAAGGACAAATTATCCTTACTTATCAATATCGGTGTGCCAATATACAAATGCTGAGATCCTCCTGGATTTCATACTTGCCTTGGCTAATAGCCATAGCATAATCATTTCTCAAAATATATAACCATGTATAAAGAAAACTTATGTAACCTTCATGCACTATAAACAGGTGACAGATTTAACTATCACTAAATAACTGTCTTGTTTAATTTAACTTACCTCAGCCTTCAGAACTCTTACTTCCTAAGTCACTTCCAAAATTCTAAAAAGATACAAATTTTACCTTTCAATAGTACTATGATCTACATAAAAAAACTTAACACGTGAGACCGAAAACTTTTTGAATTAAATATATGCATCAAATTTCAGAAATGAATTGCAGTTGAAGCAAACAAGTGAGACCGAAAACTTTTCGAATTAAAAAGGTTATATTCCATGAAAGCTTATGGGTGACATGACCCCCACCCCATATATCACTTCGTGGCATTGGAAGCAAGATTAGGATTGGACAGATTTGGCAGCATAAACTCAACTCTTTCTCCAGGGTCCTTGTATTCCTCTATCAGTCTCTTCTCCTCATATTTCATTTTGTAAGTTTTCCTATCCATCAACTATCATGAACAGGTTGATAAATTCTTCAGTTAAAACAGAAGTCACTTTTTCTTCAGTGTTCTTCAGCTAGAACAGAACACACTTTTCCCCTTCGATCTTCTTCGGTTACTTTATATGTCCTCTACCAATCATATTATATCGTCTCTGTACACTTCTCTACCATTTTGTAAACCAATTCTCTTATTATTCTTCAGCTTCAATCATCGAATGTTCTTATTTAACAACGGTATCCCCATTCAGTCTTATACATAAATCCTAATCACTCCAGGATATTCACTCCGTCAGTGAATTTTACTAAGCATGGCAACCACAGAGTCATAATCTCAAGGTAGTGGATATACTACATTGCATTGTTGAAAACGCAGACAAAATTTCAATGACTAATCTGTTCAAAGTTGCTCAGATTATTTAAATAGACAAGCAAAAGAGCATATATATTAATATTATGCAAATCAGTAAGGATAAAGTTAAGGATCAAGAGTAATTTGCACATGAACATAATAGAACCATCAACCACGCAGAATACAGGTCATAATGATAACAAGCTCTACTACTTAACCTATATGCCACTCCAAATTCACGTATCCTTCACCATTCTTCAGCTTCAAATATCGATTGTGCTCATTTAACAATTGTATCTCTCAAATCCCCTCTTTCAGTCTGATACATATATCCTAATCACTACAGGAGTGATCTGCTTTTCGCTCACTCGCTGAATTTTACTAGGCACATCAACCCCACCATCATAATCTCAAGGGGCTGGATATACTACATTTCATAATTGAACCATAGACAAACTTTCAATGTCTCTCTTGTTTAAAGTTGTTCAGATTAGTCAAATAGGCATAAACAAAGGAGCATATATTTTAATTTTATGCAAATCAAGAATAGAAGTACTTACATAAGGATCAAGAGTGGTTGCTCACGAACAGATTGGAACCATCAACCATGCAGCATACAGTTCATTATGATAACATGCTCTACTACTTGACCTGATAAGTGTCACAGCAATGTACAATTTAGCACTTTTTATCATCTTATTTCCCTTTACTTTTATTTTCCCAACCATAATCTTGTGTCTTTTTATTCTTATTTTACTTTTACTTGTGTCCGGAACTAACTCAGAATTTGATCATATTTGTAACCAAATAGATGATGCCCTTAAAACACCTTATAAAGGCTGCATACACAATATCGTTATAGTCCGGACTCAATCATAGGGCTAAACTGTGCTTGATTAGTACCAAAAGTACAACAGCAGCTCTTGACTGCCCTTTTCTTTGTCGGCGACAAGGGATCTCGATAAGAGGCGCCTCCGTCCAACCTCGATAGTATTGAATGCTCCTTCCATCTAAGCGTTGGCTAGGTAAGCGCACCTATCCTACACATTCGATCAAGGTTGTCACTGCGAAGCGAAGGAAGCTATAGTTGACTTGTTGGAGCAAGTTGGTTTGATGATGTGGACAGTTGTAAAAGTGACGATTGACCTTTTTGAAGATCTCGTTCACATTATGATGATGAAGAGCAACAGCGTATATGTGGAAGATGGCCATATCTTACTTCTGTTTATTTTATAGTTGTTAGCTTAACGTTGATATTGTATGCTGGATATTGTGTTTTTGTCATTATCTAACCTTGTTTTTGTAGGCCAACCTCTTCAGTATAAATAGAAATGTCACATTTGCATTTGAACCTAACAATAGCTTTTTGCTCTTTAGCTTTGTTCCTTTAGATTGTAGTCGGTTTCTACCGAGATTGGAATTTTTTTGGCTACTCTCTTGTTCTTTACATTTTCTGCAGCAACATTCATATTTCCATAAAGGTTTATATTTTCATGCAATTAATTTCTAAGTCTCTATTTTCTCCATTTAAAGTGATGACAGGCTAATCACCCTAGCTTGGGTATGATTGAAGGTTGGAAGATTATGCCAATGTGTTAGTGGATATTGGATAATTGTTTTTGCCATAGCAATCAACTCCATTATTCTCTATTAGTTTTAATGTGTCATTTGAGCAATCTTTGACAAGTTGACAATCTGTTATTTTGCTTAAATGAGTTGAGGTGACATAGAAAACATAAGCATAAAAATTTGAAGTGTTGTAAATATGCTATAAAGAGTTGAACCAACTTTAGTAGTTGCACTCTATATGAAAAGACAGGTAAGATACGTGTCATGCTTGGATTTGTATTCATCATAGATACGATGAGGACACTGCCACAGTGAGTTCCTAATCTAAACTTCGAAAGAAGATCGTTTGATCCAATAGTGTGGCAGCCTCATGGTATGCTATAGCAAGATTCTAGTGCACTTTGAGTTGAGACTCCAACCAGACCTTATGGTCATGCTTTTACTTGTTACAAAACATTAGTTGTTACTTATACACCAAAATGTAGTAGCTCAAAAAGAAAACATAAAAAAAGTTACTGCTGAGTTGCAAATATTTTAATGTACACATCTAATGTCAAATAACCCACTATAAAGATTGTTTTCACCCAGCTAAGCCTTTGTTGAATTTGGGGGTTTAAATTCCGAGTCAAAACAATATGATTGCCTTTTATCATGTTAGCTAGGCTTCTATTTCTCAAGCAGGATTCAAGATCTCTGATAAGCCACCCATTAGATTCATTTACCGCAAAAAAAGGCAAGCCACACTAATTGACGGGGGTAATCTTGCAGTAAGGGAAGGTTGAGCTGTCCTCCAGCAGATTCTTAGCTAATCACATAATAAAGGAATGTAGCTGTCCCAATAGAATAGGAAAATATTTTCCATTTTTGTCTTTTGTTTATTTTAAATAGGGTAGCAGGGTTGGGGTAAAAGGCATCAGTTTTGTAATACATAAGACTTGGGAGAGCCTCCAGCCTCTTGAAAGCTGGTAATTCCTATTGTAAGCATTTGATTTCAGTTAATCATTCGACTTTGTTTACCTAGTTTGCACCAATTGGTATCAGAGCCGGTGAGAAACTGAGAAATGACTCGCAGCGTAGCATCAAGAGTGGACGACATTGAAGGCAGAGTTGGAACCGTACAAGCAGAATGTTATAACTGGGTTTTCTGCAAACCTAGTCAAGGTAACTCTATGTGTTTATTATGTGAATTATGTGACAGCATGCATGATATCTTAAAATATAAATGCATGAATTATGTGCACATGTGTGGTAATTTGATATTATGCATACATGTGGAAATTTTATAGGCGGTTATATGATAATATAATATGTGGGATATTATTATAATCCAAACCTTCATGGTTAAGAAATCATGAATTTTATAATAAAAAACCCACCACCCAAAGATATTTCTATTGGATAAAGGATTCACCGCCTATGAGTTTTATAATAATTAAAATAATCTCCACCGCCATGGTGAGAGTATTTAAAGAAAGAAGAGATAAGATTCTATCTTATCACTTTATTTGGAGAAAAACCTGTTGAAAGAGAAAAAGAGCGTTGTGGCGTGAGAAGTGTTCTTGAAGAAATATTTTGTTCAAAACTGTTTGAAGAGCTTGTGATTTGCTGTGTGTTTTAAAACTGCAGAATCTGTGATCGTTAAGGCGAGTTTTAAATTATTGTTGATTATAATATGTTGGGTTTTGATGATTGTGGATTTTAGAACAAATCTGGTGAATATTGTATTCTAAACAGTTTAAACCAGGTGTTTATGATTTTGGATTAAA